TGTTTATATCGTAGTAAATGTATATCTCCTATAACTTTACACTGTTTGTATCATAGTTTAATGTATATCTCCTAACTGTTGATATCACAAATGCATTGCTATTATAACACACGTGTACCGTGACTACTGTAACTGATGTGCCAGTCGGCGGACTTTCGGGGATGGTGGCATTGTATTCATCCTGACTAAACTCTGGATCATTGTCGTTGGTATTATTGATGTAAACAGCGACTGTACATGTTGTAAATAGACGTGGGTTAGTGTTCTCATTGGCTACAACCTGTAAGAAACAATTAAGGTGTTATATTACATGTACATATTATGATAGAAAGATAAACAATATTGAATATCGTTATCAAATATGCCAAGACTTTCTAACAAATTTACATGTAAAACCTTTTCGAAAATGTCTCATGAAAAGAAAACGATACTTTCAGTAGTTATATATTGTAATGACTCGTAATTACATTAATCACAGGGATTCGTTATTTTATAATTTAATTATGAGCGCAGTTCATAAATTGCTCCAATAAAAACCAGACAAAGAAAGGGCCATATTAATAGTTAGGTGATATATGTTATTGTGATGTTAATAGTGGACCGAACCTCTCACATGTAAACAAACATGTAGGTAAAAAGTGTTTAAAAATCATCAGAACTATTATAGTTTGTAACTTTATTGATTTTAACGTTGAGATCCTGTAAAGTGCCAAGTGGGTCTATTCATACTTTCAAATATGGAAATATGTCACTGTTAATACTGTTTATGATAAAACAACATGGAACTGATATAAAAAGGAAGCTTAAATACATTCAACAAATATAAAAATCACTTACAAGCAGTGTAATGGTCTGTTCTGTTTCGTAGTCGAATTCAAAACCATTTACAAGTCTCAATAAAACTGTGGCCCGGGAAAGAACTAATGACGGTGTGGCTTCAATTCCAGTAAATCTGCTTCCGTTGGTATATCGGACTGTTAGGCTGAACTTACTGTTTGGTCCCTGTTAATGAAATAAGTACATGAATTTTGTCAATTGATACAGCTTGAGACTGAGAACGGGTAAATATTTCATTCTCACCGATACACAGATAATTCAGTTTCCATTTCTTTAATTACTCTTTTAAAATACACGAGTAAGAATGGGCACGACCGAAGCCTGTCCCTTAGCTATTATTTACACAGTTACTCCCTGTTGTTGATATGTCCGTGTGCTACCTTAAACTGTCTTTATAGTCCTTATGATAGTTAAAGCATCATCACTGGGACAATCCTTAAACAAATCCCTTGTTATATACAGAATCTTAAATGGGTTTTTACTATATATGAGATTTATGAAACCAGTCTTGAAGAACGAGAAACAACGACGATCAGCTGTTTTTGTTGTTATAAACCGCATTACAATACAACAAGTATGGGTCAGTATGCGTGCGCTATTAAATGTAGTGCCTGGTAAAATAAAAAGGCAAGGACAAACATAAATAATTAGATTTACGTCCTATGCATAAATCACATTATCAGAGGCAGATGGCTTTTGGTGGTCTGCGAATGGTCCTAGTCGGTCATTAGTCGGTCACTAGAGTTACCGCCCTTGTTCACGGTTGCACTAGACGAGCCGAGATTGACAACTAAGGACAAGCAGAATTCCAGTTGGGTAATCTTGAGCATCCATATAAATTGATGTTAAAATATTGATGCACCGAGGCTGGTTAATGGTCCAGACATATTGTAGAACAGTGTAATTCGTTTATTTATATATAACGGGAAGAACAGCAGTTGCAAACGCGGCAACCAATTTGAACAAATCTGGCATCATGTCATGGCGGCGGACCCCGCTGAACATTGCAATAATTCTAAATTAAGCCTATTAGTTACTGTGTTTCTTAGATCGCCAGCCTAATTTTCGCTGTGGAAACAATTGGAAATGCTGTCACGGTGTTTAATTGAAAGTTTTGGATTTCGATATCCACGCCCCANTTTCATACACCCCCCCCCCCGCACTTAGCACTGTTTACTCGACATGCATTTGCATGGATGCTCACATATTGTTTAGACCGTAGGTATCAGGGTAAGATGTATCAAGAATACGGTCTAAACCTGTAAGAAGTTCAGGCTAATGAAGTATTATTTGCCAAATCTTGAGGCCTGCACATTGTGACATAAATACTCATACATATCATAGCAATCATACACATTGTAAAAAAAAATAAAAATAAAAATCAAGGTAATGTTAAATAGCCAACTTTTCAGTAGTCATACTGGTAGTCGTATTGCTTATAAATTACTAGACTACCGGTTGATGATTTTAAGCGACACCCACCCACCACACCCTATTATAAAAGTGTAATAATTTGCTATATTTTGTATTAAGTTGTGATTTTTCTGCGGTTTTTCTGCGGTTTTTCTATTTTATTTTCAGCCTTATCAACGGTCAAAAATCCATAAAGAGCCAATTAAACATGGCATTCTGTGTGGCGATGTTATTAATTATGTGACTTGGCAAGTGAAATCAGTGTAATGCGGTCATTGCAAGTTCAAGTTCTTTGATACTGATTCCTGAATAATCAGTACGATGGGGCGGATGTCGCTACATAAAGGAAATCAGTATCATCAGTGTTGACGTTTCCATGATTGACGATTGGAAACAAGTGTTTGATTTGTTGAATTTTATTGACTTTACATCAGAGTATGTCTGTATCCAGGATCCTCTTGATAGCATTGCATTGTGTTTTGTGGTACGCCAACTGCGGTGTACGCTTTGTATGTATTGTTAAATACTGTGGCCAAGATCTTCCAAATACCTTGTTGTTAAATCATTTATTGTGTGATTGAGTCATTGATCTATGATAATTATATTTAACGTAGAATATTCAGTATGTTAGTAAGTATAAGATCAACAAATACAATACATGTTCATATTTAAACCGTGGTATTTCTCTTCATAGAACTTGTAAATCGGAGTTAACTTTACGACATCGATAGATTCACAGCCGTTCGCTGAATGTCAGAGTCCGACTTCACGATTCTCAGTCAGATTTACTATAATGTATAAACATTGATATTGAACCGCCCGCCGTGAATGTGTTCCACCAAACAACATGCTAATATTTCTGTGGAATGGGCTGTCCTGGTGGCTGTCCGACGTGACAAACATGTGGTGTGTTTCCCACCATGTTGTTCTGGTAGATACTGGATTTACATTTTAAACACTGGAAGAATATGACATTATTTTCGATATTTTCATATTTTCATGCAGCTATGATTAATCACCGATTTACAAGTAACACTCGCCCGTATACTCCACAATAGTGTTTGGTAGTACTCCCTTGGTTACCAATGTTTGTATGTGGTGGCTACGAGCGCTGGGATTAGTGAGTTTACCTTATCTGAGTCGAACCGTTGTGGACATTTTCTTCACCAGCGGGGTAAGTTTATTTGTTCAGATAGGATGATTTTTGAACCATCGGTCAGTTCAAGCATGTACGTCACATTTGTACATGTATGGGTGGCAATGTAGAAGTCTAGTGTTTGCTGGCATAATATTTTTGATAATTTCGGGACATCAACCGACTTTCTCAATATCTGCCCACATTTAGGGGGACACAGCACAAGCATGACGTGGGTTATCTTGTTTTGGTATGACGTTTCTGAAATTCCTGGTATTCATTTTTTTCCGAATCGCCGCATGATTTAACTTAACCCCAGGTCATTGATCTATTCTCACACTCATGCATGCCCAAATGTCCGAAATGGATTGTGTTGTAGAGTCAAAATGTGTTTATTATAGAATCCATAGTGAACACTCCAAGTTTTCTTGTAACCCGCAAAGTTTCGTTTTCCTGAATAGTAATAGGTTTTTCTTGTTTGGGCACAACTTAGAAAAGAGACGTAGTAAATTGGCATTTCCTCATTTTCTTTCACCAGAAACATTTTCAAAAGTGTTCAAATCATAAAATGCTTTCGACAAAGTTTTTAAGTTTGCCATGGATTGTAAACATGTGTTACTTTCAGAAAATGTCAAGAACGAGTTGATCCATTGTCGTTCGTTCCCCGGGGCCCTTTACCCACATTGTCTGACGTCTGTTCCAATGTCGGACTGGTGATGTTGCTGAGTCAGTAGTCCGTTAAATCAATCTTTAAATACACACCATCGAACCTTACTTTGTATATAGGTCCCGCTGATGATTCCGTACCCTCAATCACCGTTCCTGTCATTTCCCTTCAACTTATAACGCTGTGCCCACTTGAAACATCGTCTGAGGAGCAGCCATTTATGCTACGACGCGTAGTAATTTTCTATCATGGGAAAGTGTGAATCGGCTAGCCTATCAAATTCGCGAGAGGGTATATATATACATTGACATACGCACAAAATATTACTTTATATTTTACGTCTTTGATATGACAAGAGATACTTTTAAACGAAATATTCTATATATGGCTTTTAAAGACATTTCTGCTTTTCAATAATCTAGCCCCGTACCATTTAAAACACGCTGCACAGGTTTACATCACGTGATATGTATTATTAAGTATAAAATTAAAGGAAACCGTTGTGAAAATATTTTACCCGTGTATGTATGGCTTTTATTTTTGTCAACATATTCTGACAATTCTGTAGCTACCTTGAAAAATAGCATTTAACTGAGTAAAACTTTCATCAAATAACGCCATTATTGCATTCGCATTCGGTTTTATGCGTGTGAAATTCACATACCTCACTTGTATACCGTATAAGTATACTTTCTATAGTTGACGATGGTTTTGTTCGTGTGTAAGGTAGTATGATGTCTTTGGTAGAGCAGAATAGGGATAAAAAACTTCTGTTTGTGTAGTGTGGAAGTATATGCCACTCAAAGTTTGAAAATTCGATATCGTTTTTTACTGACGTTTTCTTATTCAGGTTATATGACCTTCCATACTACATATAGATTTGTTGGCGTTCGTTTAAATGTTTTTATGGACGATGACATACTATTGGGACTTATATCATTGTTTCGGGAAACAATTGTATTTTACACGGAACACATTTTATACATAATATTATAATTTACATGTTCAAACTAAATATTACCAGATCGTGTATAAACTGCGTATATAGCGCTCATTATGTGACAAGTGTGTATATTGCATCAACAATATACACACATTATTAACTGTACTAAATGTTTTCCTGTTTCTAACCTGATCCAGATCGAACACCTCTATGCCTGTCGATCCCACGATGTTTATTGGAATGTTGGACACGTCCTCCTCTATGTAGGCGTCGTAGTGAGACTTGTTGAAGGTTGGTACGTTGTCGTCTAGATCCTCCACCATCACAGTCACTGTCGTGGTGGCTGCAGAGTTGGTAGTCGGCTCTCCGGGTTTTGTTATCTCTTCAGCCTACACGAATTTATAATAAGATATCGCCGTATAACATTATACTAATAAAGGAAGGGTTACATGTGGCATGTATAATATCTTCCTTGTCAGCATATGAGTGCAGAAAAGGTAAGTTAGTCATTACAAATGGAACGTTTTGGTAAGTTAATCATCACAAATCGTTAGTTTAGTGAAGCAGATATGTTTCTGCATTGTCCATGCAATATACGTTCACAAATATGCGTAGTGTGGTTAAAATGTGTTCATCTTGATTAACTTGATGGAGTTTAGTAAAAAATTATATTGATTCCTAATTAAAGAATATCAAAAGAATACAAAATTAATGTAGGAGTGCAGTTTGGATTTGATAAGCAGTCTATATACATATATATATGTAGGCCTTGTTACCCATGGCATATGGTTATAAAACATTGAATTTAATTGGGACAATGATACTCTATATCAAATTTGGTTTGGAATCCTTCTTCTGTGTTGAACGAAACGGATTTTAAGATTAACATATATTAAACCTATCTAAGCGAGACCCTCTGCCCCCAGGGGAACCACACCTTAATGTATATTCTCTTTTCTCACCGGTGGCTCTTGACCACATTTGATTGCAATCCCTTCAGGAGGAGAAGAATTTTGAAGATTTACCTCAATTTTACTCTATTGTGCCCCGCCCCTCTGCCCTAAAGATGAATCACACCCTCCAGTTACATTATATTGAGTCCTTGTTGCTCAAAGATTCGTCTTAACCAAAATTTGTAAACATTCCTACATTCTAAAAGAAAGACTTGTATCTAAGATACTATTTTAATAAGATTTATTACTACTTCCCCTCTTGGGGCCTGTCCCTTTTCCCCCTGGTTGCACAAATCATCTGTTTTTAAACATTTGAGTCCTTTTACCCAATGATGTACTAGACCATTTAAGAAACTATTAATGCTTCCATTTATAAAAATGGAGAAAGACTTTGAATATTTATCCCTATTTCTCATAAAGAGCCCCGCCCTTCGGCCTCAATGATTGCAACGCCCTCTGTTTATTAAAAAATTACTTCCCCTCCCCAGGGATGTTCTCGACACATTTTGGTAAACATCCCTCCATTTCTATGGAACAAAACTAATTCCCCCTATTTGGCCCTGCCTCTTTGCCCGAAGGGGCCCACACTATCCATTACTAACGAGACAGAGTCCCCATTGTCCAAGGATTTTGTACACCTTTCGTTAAAATCCCTCAATTCATACAAAGCAATTGTTCGTCCTAATTGGCCCTACCCCTCTGATCCCCAGGGGGACCAAACTCTCAACTTGTACACATTTGAATTCAATTTGCCCTAACGATACCTTAGACAAAATGTGGTTAAAATCACTCCATTCGTACGAAAGAAGACAAAAATGATATATTTATCTCTATGTTACTAGTAGTAATGGGCCTCTGCCCCAGCAGGGCCATACTATTCCTTTCTGCACAAATGAGTCCCCATTGCCAAAGATGCTCTTCACCGAATTTGGTTTAAATCCCTGCTTTCCTACAGAAATAGAAAGATTTTACAAAAATTACTTAACTCCGCCTAATTGACCCGTACTTCTGCCCCAGCTCGGCCACTTCCTCCATTTATGCAAAATTGCCTTTGCCCAAGGATGCTCTACATTATATTTGGTTAAAATCACTCCATTACATTTGGTTAAAATCACTCCATTTGAACAGGAGAAGCATTTCAAAGATTTATCTAAATCTCCCTAATAGGTCCTGCCTATCTCTGCCCCAGGGATGGGGGTGAGGGGTGGGTGCAGGTGGCGTTGTGTACATTCATCGTTCTTTTAGCTCATCAACCTGAGAATGTTCTAAAAAATGGTTTAAAGCTCTCCATTAGTACAAAGGTAGAAGGATTGTTTGATTTCCTTTCATCTCAAAAAGGATTTGAAAGTTTGATCCTTTCTTGGGTCCAGCCCCTCTGGCCTCATTGGGAGCACATAACTTTGATTTGAAGGTTTAGTGATATGAAACAAACCTCAATACCGATCCTGCATACACCTTGATTTTCCAAAACGATTCCAGTGTCTCTGTCCAATTTATCCTTTATTGAAAACCTCCCAGTGGCGGTATTTATCTCAAATAATTTTGAGCACTCATCTTCAAATAGAATAAGGAACAGATTTTAAGGTAGATACCTGTCACGGACGAATAAATATAATGTTAATCAAGGAAATCGTCAAGAACGATTATCAACTTTAATGATAACAATGCCATCAGCGTATTAATACCAATATGACTATCAAAAGAGAATGTTGAATACAGTTTTTTCGCCCTGAAATCGGGATCCTTACTCTATTGGTTAACCCAATTTGGTTCTGTTATAGCTAATGAGAAAGTAGTTTCGTTCCGATCGGAGTGCACCATTTCTTCATTTCTTTTTTTCTTTTCAAGCAAGGGGGATAACTCGACACAAACGATTTCGAAATAAAGATTTTATATACATGTATTTGTTTTAGTAATTTCCCTTACGCGGCTGGTGGTATTTACATTGAATTTATTACTAATGTTGTTAATGCTGGTAGCTGTAATTTGTATTTCGAACAAAATCCATTGGTTAGTTTAGAAAAAGAGAAAAATAAAGAAAAACTATTTTGGGGTTTAAGATATATAAAAACTAATTAAAACAATATCGTTTTTACATTTGATTGAAATTGCGTGGGGTTTTCATGTTAATAAAAGCAAGTCATTCTATAATGTTCTAAGCATTATGTTGTGCTGACTAAATATTTTATAAGTAAGAAACTAAAATGTCATGTTTTTTTATATTTCAGATTTTTCTCAATAACAAAAGTGGTAACATTTTGATATTTCTTTATGATTCAAACAAGATCAATTGCCAGATATGAATTAGTTTGTCGTCTGTGTACCAGCTAACCTATATTATATCGTTTACGTTTCGGTATTTGATTATCTTTATATGTTATTAAAAAAAATCTCAAATATTACCTGAATAATACACCATTGTGTAATTAATATTCCTAGGAATTCCCCGATCACCGTCCTGGGCAAGGATATCTTTTCCAGCCTAAGCAACATACATTATATAATGTATCAGTGCCTGTTAATCACAGTATCATTCAAAACATTTAATAACAACTTATCTTTTAAGAAATTAAAAGCAGAAATATTATATGACAATTCACCAGTACAAAAATCAAACTAAATATCAATACAGAAGGGCAATATTAAACTGTAAATACCAAACAAATGTCATCAACAGAGAAGTTTCCAACCCGAAAAGTGTTATTTTCGTTGTCTAACCCAAGACTTTGCAAAATATTAACCCGTGAGTTGGAAATCTCTCTGTTACACCCTGAAGGTTAAGGGTGATTATTTTTCATTACAATGCAATGCTTTAAAACAATTTATAACTTGTTTTTATCCTGATACATATAACTTCTCCTATCGAGAACTGATGTGGACGTCATATCTTTTTTTTTGTGACGTCATAGTACTGTGACATTTTTTACATTCTATTTGTCATATTCTAGGGTGACAGAAGAGTAATGAACACGTAAACCTGGACATATATATATTGGTAACGGTAGGGAATAAAGATGTTCCATTTTTATCTGGTATACCAATCATAAACGATCCTGTCAAATCATACGGACAACAACAAGGGTGGCGTTAGATAATGAAACATTTTCGTTTGGGATCAGGTCATGGTAGAGACCGTTATATTTCCTCAGTGGAGTAAAACAATTTATAAGTAGTACATTCGCCATTAGAATGCAGCTATTTATAAACCCATATTTTTTTCAAACACTTTCAGTAATATTAAACATGTTTTGACATGTTAGGTCTATAAGCAGAGGAGGCTTGTATGTCACTAGTTCGGACAGTCAGGTTGACAATGGATAAGTTTAAGTCGTCTCGTTTGACAAAGAATTTGGTATTCGGGCGGCAAGTCATGCCTTCTGTAGGTCAATTCAAAGTAGAAAGCTAAATAAAAGTGGAGGGTTAATGATCGAGTTCAAAGAGATGAGTACAATTCAAGTGATTATCAAAAGCATTAATATTCACAACTCCATGAAGAACAAACAAAACAGTTAATCACCCACATTAAATAGGAGCGACACGTCATAAATAAAACTTAATTTGATATATACCCATGAAGAATTCTCTTTGATAGCAAATATGTATGGTAATCCCTTGAAATTCGGAGGCGTATCTTGAATATCGGTCACTGTGATTGTTATTTCAGCAGTCCCTGTCAAAGGAGGATTCCCGCTATCCTGAAAACATATTCACTAGTTGCGAACACATCAATTCTAAACTGTATTTGCTAACAATATACTTGATGGAGTTCTTTTAATATGCACATCATTCTACTATTTCGCTCCTGTAAAATTTAATACCAACTTAAGTGGTACCAGATATTGCAGTGGATATATTTCACATATGGTTTTCGTTCACCACAGGTTTAAAAAAATATTCTGTAAAAGGCGAAGATATGGCGGTTTTAAATTGTCCATCATGATTGCATTAGTCTTGTGCACAAAACATATATTTATCACAAATAGTATGAATAAGACTGTTGGTTTTGCATTCATCTTACTGTACCACTTGCCTAAAATGCTAAATGGTGTTTTTCAAAGTTTAAACATTTTTTTAAAAATTATTTCATTCGATGGTTAGAAAACACCACTGATGTATCATTTCAAGCTGTATAGTCCCTTCAGAACCAATTAAAAACAAAACAAACACCAGACAATTTTTGAATAATACATCATCATTGACATTTTGTATGATTAAATGTTATATCAAGCCATTGTACTTACCACGGCCTCTATGATATATTGGTAAAAGCTGAGCGTCTCGTAATCTAATGGTTTCTTTAGTATGAGGTGTCCGTTATTCTTATCGATGTTGAAGACATCTTTATATAATTCTGAAGACTAAAACGTCATATAGTTGGCATTCATTCACCTTTCAAATGTTCGTGCCGAAATAATAATGATGGAAAAGAAAATTATGTGAAAAGAAACAGTTATTTTTGCATACTGTTGTGATATCTCTTCTTTCACCTGCCTAAAGTAATGCCATCTACGCCATTACGCTTAACACATGTTCATTCTGTTTGAAAGAAACTGCATCTTTTACAATTAATTTGTTATTTCATGATCAACAGTTTTTTGACAGTTACCCACCTGACAGTGAACATTTAAAATACTAAGATACCAAAAAGATTATCCTATCAAATATAAACTCCGCTAAAAGTTTTAAGCGTTCTATGTTCTTAATAATTCCGAAACATAAACAACCGAAAAACCCTCACCTGGCCAGTCGCCTGAAATTGTAAACGAGCAAAATGTTTTGATTAAAAAAAGGCACAAACTTATTTAGCATTTAGACTAACTAATCAATGTTTGAAGCAGGAACAATCGACTTAGTTGTTCAGAATACAGCTCGAAAAAAGATCGCTATCTCTAATTTACAGACGGTTTCAAACATCTAATGGATGGTTTTAGACAAGAATATCAACTGAAGTATTGAGCTTAATATTGTCAGATCAAAAGGATCAACATAGCATTACCCTGGGTAACATATTGTTTCAGACATATTGCTACAAAAGTATACGACGTAAGGTTTCTGACAAGTAGTATGGTCATAAGAAATGAAATAACACATTTTCAGACTGCACGGACTGCATAAACTAAACAGCATCAGGTTTCAAACATTACTATTTACAAATGTTTCCAAACAGGAAAGATCACCTTATTTAAAAAAAAAATAATATTTTAGTAAACGGTCTCAGGACATTTAAGATTGATACTTATAGTTCTTTTGTAATATTTATTAGAAAAGGAATAACAAACAAAGCAATAGTATGCTATACGTTGTACAATAACATATATATGTTTTATTTTTATTATGCTTACGGCTAACTTGAATGCAAAGGCCTTGTTCACGCCATCATCTGCATCGGTCGCTGAAATGTTCGCACTGTAGTTTGACGGATAGGTTGAATTCTACAATTGTAATTAAAAGGCAAGTAATAAAATGGGATATTTGAAATAACTATTAATGTGTACATGTATCATTTTCAGTCAAACATAAAAAACAGTTGTTGTCACCAATGCAGTTAAATTCTACTTACCTTTTAAGATTTTGTATATTTTTATATTTTGCAGCATAATTACTTACGCGTGATATCGAACTGCTTACTTTTTATAAGATATGAATAGAATCCAGCCATGTTTCTGAACATTATCGTTAGTTATTCTAGATGTCTTTAGTCGATGACGAAGGTCGAAGAAATGCTAAAGAGCCAAGATAGATTGATATAGCGCAGTTTTATTGTGCTCGGTACGTTCCCGGCAAAAGGATTTTTGATGCCAAACATCAAGTAATTAAACATTTGAGGTATGACATATAAGATATTGAAGGTTTTTTTTAAACGTTTATAATTTTACAGAGTTTTCAATAGAGGTTTATAGGATTTTGTTTTATCGCCATACATTTTAAGATATTTTAACACTTTTTTTGCTACTTACCGTTTTTGGCACTTATTTAACTATTTCAAAGAAATTAGGTTTTCTTTCTTGCACACCATTTAAAAACGATTAACATTTAACATTATATGAGGAAAATTAAATCATTTAATCATCTAGTGAGAGAAAGATTAGGATTTTGTACCCCAAAAGTGGCATTTATTTAATCAAATGTTTATGAAAGATATAAATGCCCGGCGCTACATGACATTATGTGAAGATATTCAAAGAATGGAATTTCTTTTTTTAATTTGTGAGGTCGTAACTTTAGGTTTCTGGACATATCTATGGTAAGTAAGTCAGAAACCTAATGATTGTTAGACCCCATACATGCCGAAACATTCAACTTCATTCCTTATATTTATATTTTAAATGCTTTTAGGTTATCGTTTGTTTTCATTTGTACACGGTGTCATATTCAGAATTTCACTTCGTAGAATATTACACGTCCATATGTAATATCTTATTAAAATATATTTGAATCATATTATTTAATCTTTAACAGGAACGCAATAATATATAATGTTCATTTTAACTAGTATATTTTATGACAATGATCAAAGGGCGGCTTCACGGTGGATGGTAAACAAACTACGCCTGTTTTATGCAATACGACCCAAAATTGTATTAATACTCATTGCGATGAGGCCACCTATGTTATGAAAAAAGGACACTTCGTCAAAATGGGTCCCTGAACACAGAATGTTAATACAGTATACGAAAATATATTAAATAATTTCCAAAACATCAGCTTTTCCAACTTTGAATATTTTCGTATTTTACCCAAATTCGTTTGGAAAAACTATTGATTATTTCACTGTATATATTTCTTGAACAAAATATTAAGAAATTTGTATATAACTCCACTTCTCAATAATGATATGAGTATAAATTTTTCAAATTCTTTGCACAGTTGATATCAAATTTTATTTTTGACATATTTAAAAATATCTGGCTGTGTTGTGATATTTTGTTTTGTGATTTTGTAGATTAATATGAGAGAAAACATATCTACAAAATTTACACCAATTGGAGTGCTGGCCACTTCTGACATTTCTTGGCAATGAAAATCTTCCTACTGATATGTACTGGATTTTCGGAACATTGGAAAACAATAAGAAGGAAATTAGAATAGTTGTTCAGTTAAATGCGAACTCCTCAATAGAAGACAGGTATGGGTTGTATACGGCTAGTTTTAATGATTGTTTTTTCCAAAATAACTGGTTCACATAGAGAAATAACAAAGTTGGTAATCAATAAATTTACATTTTCCATTATATGTTCATCCATATCTTTTAATTAAAATGAAGATCACTTAAAGAAATAGAGAGCACTACAATAGAAACGGTTTGTGTGTTGGCCTTTCGGACTATAGGTTTAAAGTGTCACTGATCTTCAGTGTACATGTATACGATAATTAACCTGTTTTGCTGATCAATAGGTGTGACTTGTTTTCGATTTGAACAACAGATAATGTTATAGACCTCTCCCGTTCCTGACGCCAACGCGTTACTACGTATAATACCGATCGTTACATTTTTGCTCCCCCATACGACATCGGTTCCAGACAACAGCAGATACCACAAAAATATGGTTGAACCAAATAATCCTGAAGAAAAAGGTCTAAAAGAAATATTTCTTTCTCCATAAAAATAATCGAATCGAGACAAATGGTTTTATAGTGGGAAAACGTTGTTTCTCAAAGGAGAGTTAATGTTAATTAATATCAGTATAGCAGACAATGCCAAGGGAGGTTTGAATTTTTAAAAAAAATGCAGGGGAAATGTAATGCTAGAAAATGAACTGTTTTATATCATTGTGATGTGATTGAATCTAAAATGAAATTTGACCCCTTATTTTAAACGTTAAATGGCGTCCTATTATTATTAACATTTGAAGGTTGATAGATATACTGCACCTTATATCAATTTTTAACAGTAATGTTTGACTTGTATTAAACAGTATGTTTATAAAAAGTCAAATTTAGAGTAAGATTTGCCGCTCAGTATGTATATACGCCAGTACGTAGGTTACTTGGTATATGACTTGTTTATCAGCACCCATCTTACCTCAGGTATGTCGTAGACGTATGCTGGCCGTCTGAAAACGGGCGGGTTGTCATTCACATCAGTCACGTACACTTGTACAAACCCTGTTGACTGTCATACATAACCAGCATCGTGTTCATTAAAATAATATTTGGTATACACATTACTATTCGTTAAATTTAAATGTCCTGTGAGATACATATATTTACACAAGGGATGTTCCGACTGGGAACTGAAATTTGAATATATTTAACATTTTTGTTTTATGATACTTTCTAGAAAACTAAAGAATCAATTGTAAATCCGGAACATATGATCTAAACAATAACTTACTTTTGTACAAACTTTAACATACTATATCTAGTGGTTTGTATTGAGGATCAATTTAGAATGTGATCATTGCCTATCGCTAAAACTTTTACGTTATTCATGTGTCCATATGTTTATATGTTGGCGTTTAGAAATTTTGGTTAAAATTTGAATTGATACAAATCATTATAAATAACCACTCATTGGGTGCCCGCTATATATATTACGAGGAAAGTTAGTTTATCGTGTATTACCGTGTTGCCGTCTCCATCAGATGCTGAGAATGCCAAATTCACTTCACTCTTACCCTAAAAAAGTTTCAACAAAAGAAAAACTATAAGAAACGTATGCTTCCATGATCGTGGAATTGCTTCATTGAAGAAAAAGTTACAACTTAAAACCGAAACTTTCGAAAGAGAAACAAAGAAATTTAGGACGCAATAAATACTACGTCTTTGTTATTCCAAATACATTAAAGCATCAACATACTTAAAGTTTCTCATAATCTGAGAAGTGCATAGTCATTTAGCTCACTTAAAGCGTCATAGTTTTGCTTACTTTTATCAGTTGATTTCCCGTTGCTAAGAATCACCTCACCAACGTTTTGTTAACGGTGTTATTGATTTTCTGTTAGCATATAAATCGATCAGGGAGGTTCCTATTAACCAGCTACCAAAGGATCTATGCGGCCTATTTTAATATACGACAAACACGTATTTGATAACATCGTATAATATGATGCAAAACTTCATATAGCTGTAGGAATGTATTTACTATAAAACATCTAATATTATAACATAAAAAATAATGTACTGTTGTGATTAAGTATATAGAGCGAAAAACTAAAAGAGTAAACTATATAACAACCCAGTCGTACTCAGATACAGCTACACGGCCGTAAATGTGCTGCAGTCACTGACATGACTCAATAATTGTTTGTTTAAGATCTGTTTGATTCGTTTGAACTCAAAACATTATTTTACTTTTATTTTTTGATATTAATCTAAATCTGGCTGTATGCTTCTAAAATCGTAAAAAAAATTCACATAATCAGACAGTGATGTTTTTTGATTTTTTATCTAAAGATACATTTAATGATGTGTGCAAATCACTACTTGTATATTATTGCAAAAGTATTCATTGACAAACATATCAGCTACTCTTGTTCAGGCAAAAAAAATCTATAATTATTTTGATAAATATTGCGATTGAAATCAAGTTGAATTGGTATACGAGAAACGTGTGTAGATTTAGGTCTATTTAACAAAAAGAGCAACACAGATCGATATTATATATGTTTCTTACACTAATGTCGACTGGTTTATATATAAATGAATTCTGTTGTTACTAGATACTCCATATTTCAAGACACACTATTGATTTTGTACTTGCCAAACATATGGGTGTAAAATATAATATATTCAGAGATATTATATCTAAAAGGTAAGCCAATATTTAAACATCTGATTTTGCCGCCGTTTCCGTGGGAGTTTATGATGCATTCTTGTTTTGTTTTAGAATTTTTCTAGCTCTCTTTTCGTAATTCGTTGTTCTGATTTATAATGCAATGTATATCCTTGCCAAACACGATTGCGGGGTGAAAGTGAAAAACTGTTAAATGTACTACAAATTCGAAAACAGATGGTACAGACATGCATACTACAGTTGTGGGATCGCACAACGTTACATGATGTGCGGTGTACACACGATGTGTGCACGGAGTGTGAACTATGTGTGCACGAAGTGCGAACAATACAAAATAAGACGATCATTGCTTGCACACATTTGTGCGGAAGATCGACGAACGTTGCGGGATAACAATCGTGGTTGGTGTAAATTGAAGAATGGCTTAACAATATATACGGTTTGGTGTTGAAACATATAAACTTGATTGTTTAGTATGTTTCTATATTATAGCTGCATCTATAAGCTTATCTTTCTGTCTATACTTTCTTAAATTTAGAAATGGTTTGTTCGGTGTTTTTTAAACGACCTTAATCGACACATGTAAAATTACAACACAGTCTCGGCAACAAAGGTAAACATAGCCACTTTGTACCTGGACCGTAGTTTTCCACCGCTCGGGGCACTTACGTAACTCGCAAAGGTGAGAAAACCAGACGAAGGGGAGCTATATCAAAACGAATGCAAATATTCATAACGGTCGTACGGTATCACATAGCAGCTCTATGTGTCAGGCACAGGCGAGGTAACACTCCGGTCACTCATCAAATTGTTATTTACCTGTTCTGTTACCTAGCTACATGTAGGAGCCAAATACATTTCATTACAGTCAAAAAATTGTACGTCATCTTAATTGTGATGAACAATTACAGTAATATATACAGTGTTCATTATTGCATACGAGCCTTCAGATTTGTTTCATTCCGTAATATTGATTAACCAATTGTACCAAAATCGCACAGTTGTGCGGAGAGAAGCGCACAACGGGGCGAACGATTGTTAAATCGCCAAGTTAACGTTGTGCGCACCATGTGTGGACGATGTGCGGACGGTGTGTGAACGATGTATGCACTGTGTGCGCACGGTAGTTTTGGTGAGTTGTGCAGTCACACAACTGTATATGTTTAAGGAGTTCACTACCTAACAGTGACAATACATATATTTCGTGGAAACAGAGAAGAACGACATTGCTTTCGTTCAAAAAACGAATGCAGAAAATTCATGCATATTATATGATATTAATATTGTTGATAATTTTGAAAATATCTTACCCTGTCGAAATCGAAACTGTCAGTGTTGATGAGGTATATATGGCCTGTCACGACCCCGGGACTACCATTGGTCTGGTTAAGGTAAACGCTCTGTCGTGTAAAATCATCAAATATCCCCAGCGTTATGCTGGCACTATCTTCGTCGGTGACAGTAAAAGATGTGATCAGGGAACCTGTGATATATAATTAATGTTTTAATTGGGACAACAACAAACGTGAGATAAAGATCGTTGTTACGTAGATTTATTCCTTGTCATATATATATAGAGTATTATTATCTGTTACTGCTTACTTAATTACGAATAGGTTCACAACACGAGCATGAGGGTGTTTGTTTAAAGTTCTACATATATGATCAAACATCCCATTGTTGGAATGCTTTGCAATAAAACGCTTTTAATATTTAATGCCAAGTTAAATATTCTAACAAATACCGTTTGCGCAGTCCTCAGGCATGATTTTGGAGACATTTTGGGGAAATATAGGAGAAAGCGGCTTTAAGTGGACCGAATCTGAAAATAAATGACGTGAAAAGCTACTTATTTCCATCTTTCACATCAAAAGGAACTTTTGAAATATGTGCACAATGATATCAAATATTTAGAAGTTAATTTGTATCGCATGATACAAAGATTTCATACGAAAAATATGCAATTATATGTTTAAAAGTACAATCATATACATATATAACTGATGCAGGTATATTCTTGATATGAATAATGAGCATAACTAGGTGAATATAAAAGCAAACTTATTTTAATAATACAGCTAAACTATGTATATACTTCAATATGTGTATTGATAAAATAAATAAAAGTAAACATTTGTTAATTATTCGAGTACAATGTTTACGAAATATTCCATGAAAATAGTGAACCTGATAGCTTACTGATATAGACGTATACTGAACAAAAAAAGAAACGCACAAAGTTCCACCCCTGCAGTACACCTTAGCTGTAACGAAATAATGGAATATTTTTTTATTTTTTTTTTAACCTTGCCTAATTTCACGTTTTATTACATGACTTTCTGTTAACCAGTTATTGTTTTTAACGATTCCACTTATATTCGTATAAAAGGTAATGAAACTCCATTCGATTGTATCAAAAGCTTTGGAGAAATCCAGAAATAAGATACAAGCATCTATATTAAAGTTTTCAGCATAATCAATTATATCTTGTATCTGTCTGATATTATAGCCTCTAAATCTGTTTTTAATGTATCCATTTTGATCCGTATTTACAATTTTTTCCATAACTGGTTTTAATCTCGTGGCTAATACATATGCTGCAATTTTATAGTCAATGTTTAGTAACGATATAGGTCTCCAATTTTCTAGTTTTTGTTCATTACCTTTTTTGTATATTAATGTAATTAAACCAATTTTTTGCGAGTCGCTCATTTCGCCGTTATAGTAACCTTCATTTAGGGCGTCAAGAACCATATTCCCGATTGACTTCCAAAAGATTCTATAAAATTCCACCGTTAATCCATCATTTCCTGGACTTTTGTTTAGTTTCATTTTATTTATTGCCGTGGAGCATTCCGCAATTGTCAATATACCTTCACATGAGACTTTATCATCTTCTGTTAATGAGTTTGGTATGGCTGTTGTTTCTAAATACTCATTCAAATGAGATATATCAGGATTTGAGGTGTTATATAATGTCTTATAAAAATCGTGTATTTGTTTCGATATTTCATTTGCGTTTGTTACAATTCTCCCATTTTCACCTTCTAATGTTCTAATTGCTTTTTTCTGCTGTCTACTTTTTTCTAAACCTAGAAAATAGCTTGTGTTTTTTTTCTCCCTTTTCTACCCCGGCTATCCGTGACCTTATTTGAGCACCTTTTGCTGACCTCACATATCTTTCCTCCAATTCCCGTTCTAATTCTTGTTGTTCGATTAGTTTTGGTTCAGTCATTGTGACATTCGATTGATTATGAAAAGCCAGTTTCTCTTCCATAATCTTAATATCATTTTTATTTTTGCGGGCATGATTTTTGCAAAATTGTATTGTCTCTTGTTTAATTAGTACCTTGCAAAAGTCCCAAGATTTTCTTTTATTTAATTGCATGATTTCGCATTCCCGTTTTGATTGTATTATCACTTTTTCAATTAAATTTTTATATTCGTCATTATTTAATATACTACCGTTAATCTTCCAAACCCCCTTTCCTCTATTATCTCTAATTACCTTCAATTTGAGTGATATACCTTGATGGTCGGTGTATTTAATTTGGGCCGGCCTTATATCTACGCTCTGAACTGTATTAATTATATCTTTTTCTATCAGAAAATAATCGTCCTACTTGCTTCCCCATATCTGTTACGTCTCCATGTATATTGGAATTTTTTTTATTACGTAATTTCCAAATATCAACTAAATTTAGATTTTTTTTTGTATTTGTTACTCCATATGTCCTTTTAAGGATCCTGTTTTGTACACTTGTTTTTCTATCAATCTTTTCGTGTACCTCGTTAAAATCGCCACCGACTATAATAGATCCAGCTTTATGGTTTGTTATTTGTTTCTGTATATTTTTAAAGAACACATTTCTATTTTGTTCACAATTTGGTGCATATACATTAACAATTGTATACACATCATTTTCAATTTCAATGTTGAGTATAATAAATCTACCATTCTCATCAATTACCTTCTTTTGTACATCGATATTCAATTTATTGTTCCATATAACCGATACACCCCTGCTTTTATTGTCACCAAAACTTGATATAGCTTTAGCAAAATTGTGTATTTCATTGTTAATTACATCAACCAAATCTTCTGTAAAGTGTGTCTCCTGCAGAAATGCTATATCAAATTTCTGATTTTTAAGCCATTCATATACTCTGAATCGTTTCGATTTGTTTCGAAGACCCCGAGTATTCAATGACAATACATGTATAGTATTAGGGATACCAATCATAATTGTATACATTTTTCATTATACCATCACAACACATATGGTTACATGCAATAATAATGATAAAAGCACTCAGCTCCTTTGTACAAAACTGGAGTATTTGTATCATTATACAACAATAACAAGTATAGCTATACGTATTTCTTATACTTATGAAATTACTCAGTCTATTTCTTACAAATAACTGAAGTACTGTGTCAGTCTTAAAATGTCTTGTTTCATTATCGTTCTCGTTTAGAACAGTTTTGTTATACATATACGGGGTTATCACGGAGTTGACTTTGTGTTGTTCGTCCACCCAGACGACTTTTTAGATTTTTTGTACTGACCATTGAGTTCCTCGCTTGGAGTAGGAGGAGATCGTACGTTCTTGGGGGATGGCCGCGGATTGTTGGGAGTACCCGGTGTACTCGAACCAACTACTGCCGCAAACGTATCCTTAATGGACGTTTGACCTTTATCCTGCCTCTTATGTGTAGGAATGCGGCTACCTGTGCGACGTGAACCTGCTGTTTTGTCGACCGGTTGTCCTCCAGATTTGCTCGCACTGCCTTTGTTGCTGTCACCAGCTGACTCGCAACCTTTGACCTCATCGGTATTTTCGATCCCGTGTACCTGGATTTCGGTGTTTATGTTTTCAATGATTGGCTCACATTCGCTTTGCTTGTGTCCCGTTTTACCACACGCCCTACATTTCCAATCATTTAGACAGGTAGAGAATGTATGTCCCTCTTCCAAGCATTTGGAGCATGTTTTCTGTGCTTCCCTTTCACTGTTTGGGTCAGGTTGTCCTCTATAGAATACTCTGGCCCTATATTTCCCGATCTGTAGTACACGAGGAATGTGACTGTGTATCGAACTCGATTTTATAATAACAAAGCGGTCTCCCGTTTCACAGTTAGTGAGTTTTTCATTAATTCTCAGTTTCTCACGTGTAATATTGCCGATCGTTTCAGCCTTGTTTTTTACAAAAAACCTTTCAATTTGACCATCATCCGCTGATAAGGGAATGTCTTTTATTCTTAGTCTAACGGTGTCCTCTCCGTCGAGCCGGTTTGGGTTTGTTTTTAGTATACCCATTGTGTAACCGCGGAATGGGAACCCACCCGCCATTAGTGTAACATTGTCGTCCAAATTGCCTAAATAAATACGCCAAAAACCTCGGACGCGCTATAGTCCAGTTATGTAGGAGCTATCTATAACTTCCCCAATGGCCGCAAACATTTCAGCGTGTTTGATGTACTCATTTGGATTTGGCCGGTGTTCTCCAAAAAAATACCTTTCCTGGAAAAACACTACTGGGGGTTCACTATTTACATTGTTTGTACATGGCGCCATTTTGCCCTGACCTGCTGAGTCACCTTGGTTCAAATTTTCCACCACTTCTGTATTTGCTTCTGGCATTTTTAACAACACAACAGATGTCACTTACTTGTTGGTTTGTTTGAAAAGTTTGATATTTTCCTTTATAACTCACATATATCCACAATATGCGTCAGTTATGACACAAATATATTGAGCACCGATGTATACCTGCCTTGGCTAGTACGTTCGGAACTCCTTTCTTGTGTCAGGTATTACATCAAGAACGATCTTCCTTCTCAACAATCTGCCCTAAAATCAGCCGAGCGTGACGATGTCATTGTGTGACTTTGTGAGCTTCTTTAGTCCAAATCACGCGGCGTGATCAAGCCAAGCCGGAATTTTTCAAACAAATAATCTCAACGTATACTCTAAGTTCAGCCACATTAATTTTCCAAGTTGGCATTTTGATTTCGCCATTGACTGAGATGCCGCGCTTAACGCAAATTCAGAGGGGGTAGAGCAATTGCGATGTTGATGGATGGTCATAGCCAAACTGCTGTCGCACGGCAGTTTGGTGTTGGCCGGTGTACAATTAACCGTCTCTGTACACGTTTCCGTGCTACTGGGTTAGTTTCCGATCGTCCCAGGAGCGGTCGTCCGCGTGTAACGACCGCACGACAAGACAGGGCGATTCGATTGTCGCACTTGCGCAACAGATTTAAGACTGCTGTAGAGACTGCGTCACACCTTAGGTACTTATGGCAGACCCATTAGTCCTCAAACTGCCAGGAACCGCTTGCGTGCCGAGAGAATCATTGCGCGCCGACCTTATGTCGGGCCACCTCTGACTCCACGGAGGCGGCAAGTGAATCTTGACTGGATGCGCAGACAAAGCCCGAATATGTTTGGGATGCGTCGATGGAGGCGTGTGATGTTCACCGACGAGTCTAGATTCTGTCTGTATCGCTCAGACGGAAGAAAAGGGGTATATCGTAGACGCGGTGAGCGTTTCGCCGACCCATGCGTGGTTGAACGCGATAGATTCGATGGAGCTTCTGTAATGGTTTGGGGAGGCATCTCCCATGGAGTAAAATCCCTCTTAGTGGTCCTGGATCAAAACCTCAATGCCGTTCGATACAGAGACCAGATCCTCCAACCACATGTCCTTCCACTTCTCAGACGTCATAACCTAATTTTCCAGTAAGACAATGCTCGACCGCATGTTGCCAGAGTCAAACAACGTTCAGCCTCTGGAATGGCCCCCATATAGCCCCGACATGTCTCCCATTGAGCATCTGTGGGATAAGCTGGACAGGCGTATTCGGAAACGACAAACCCCCAACTAACCGCGCCCAGTTAATCGCAGCATTAACACAAGAATGGAACAACTTTCCCTTAAGGCGAATAAATGTTCTCATAAATTTAATGCATAGGAGTATCCGTGCAGGGATTCGTGCAAAAGGTGCCCACACCAGGTAATGAAGTGTCATGTTGTTTTTCGCGGGTATCCCACTTTGAGTAACTACTGATGATACGCGTGACCTCACACAGACTTTTCTTCTACAGTATTGTAAAGAGTAGACTTGTCCCTTCGTATTTGTACAAATTTCCCAAAATATCATAGCCTATTGATTGCATAATTTAACTGTGCGGGGTTTTTTTTTGTTCAATATATATACAATGAGACATAGTAGGTTAAAAATGTCTAGTTTATATCCATATATCTGTTTTAAACAATGGCCGATGATAAAAATCACTATATAGTTTTTGTTTCTAAACGTTAAAATAGGTTAAGCCATCTTAATAATCCGATATAACTCCTACATTCTTGCAAGCAAAAATTATGAACAAAGGGCATGTTCTCTGAGTGCCAACATATTTAAAAACAATAGGCAGGTGTTCTTTTACAAAATATTGGGAAGTCAATTATATACTGTTTCATAAATGCTGCAGTTCACTTGTTAGTACCTGATAGTTTACCTTTGTTTCATACAGCAGACTTCCTCCGATACCTTTTGCTATATTTGGTTCAGATCTTAGACACTTTTTAAGAAAAAGTATTATAATTCCCTTCAAAACAACTTGCCCTACAGGGAAATTAACAATGTTGGCACTCAGAGATACGCCCGAACGAACGATGTTAGCAGACACTATTTCATAATACTTTGTATCTTAGCAGTAAAAGATGATTTTATCGTCCAATCTCGTCCAATCTCTCTCATTCAGTGCAAAGATCACACGGTGTTATAATTCAAGAATGTCATGCATAATATATTTTATTACTCACCTATAATCAATACAACAAGTACGAATATTAGTCCGTGTGAAGGCATCTTCGTCTTTGTTATTCATGTACACATATGAAGTATTGCAGTTTGTCCTGAAAACAATTTGATTTAAATGTTTTTATTTATAAAAGTTAGAACACATTTATCTATATATTTTTGTATTAAGAGTTGAACGTCTTTGTAATATATACGGTTATATATTACAGACGACGACAGAATCCACTGTTGATATTGCCATTTTTAAGCACTATTACTTTGATATGTCACATCTTGATCAGTGCAGTACCACTAGTCACTCTATATTCTGACAGCATGCATTCGTATACGTGTTTATCTCCGTCTAGTTTTAATAGAAATGATAAGAGTCGTTTTCGTTGCTGAGGGATACAAGCGATCAGTTTAATTTATGATATGCACGAGTATGTCGCTTTTGTGTTTATGGCCAATACATGACGATCTTTATTTATACTCAGACAATATTGAATGTTTGGTACAAGTAAACCAATATTTCTAGTAGTTCATAGAGTGTTCTGCAGCAGCATAAATTATTAAAGTATAGTACACTTTGACCGTTATATTTTAAGACATATGTAGATAAGATAATATAATAACAAGGATGCACCATAGTGATCATTCTCCTAAACTTGTTAACGTGGCAAACAAAGCTGAAACAGACATTAATTATCAAACATTATCATTTCCTGTTTCAAGTCACTTCCTTTGGTTTTAATAAATAAATAAAAATAAATATATACAACATTTGATATAGCGCCCTATCTAGCTAACATAAGCCACTCTAAAGCGCTTTGCAGTACATAGATATACAATTTTATACAGTCAATACAATTAGCATATACATATTAATCAATACAATATTGAGGCATTAGCAGGAGCTGCCTTATCAGGCGCTCACTACTAGTCCTATGCCACCTGGCTAATATTTCCCTCTGTGTGTATGCCTGTGTGTATGCTGGAGATGTATTGTGTTCTGTATGTAGTGGGATCGTGCTTCCAACGGTATCATTTATAGTGCCACCTCATTTGAATGCTACAGCACAGATACCGCAACACCCACCCCAGACCATTTTATACTCCACCTTGGTTGTTGGAGTTGTGTGGGCAGGTGAAAAATACTCTTTCTAATATTCCATGCTTACGGCGACTTCGGGGATCGAACCCCGGCCGCCTGCTTGGAAGGCCGGAGTGTTAACCACTAGATCAATCCGCCCAGATGGCATTTGTATATTTTATACAACAATGATAGTTTTTAATTGACTGAAGTCTTTATTAAATGATTATCAACTCGTTGACGGTGATACATGTAAATGTAATACATGAAACGATTACTTTCTAATTTTGTCTCCGGATTTGAAGGGATGCATTATTGTTTTCCTTATAGGCTGAAAGTAACTCAGTATGTGTTCTTGTCTTTACGTTCCGAGTCCGAATGTCATGAGTGTATATTGACGCTTTGATAAATGGTATGTGTTGGTGATGACGCTGTGGTATATTTTGTATGTGTATGTGAACAATTTGGTTTATTTTGTTTTGTTTGTTTCGACCGCTATGGTATATTTCGTTTGTGTACGTACATGTATCGACGTTGTGGTATGTTTTGTATACGTGTATTGACGCTGCGGAATATTTTGTATGTGTGTGTGGACACTTAGGTATGTGTGTGTATCGACGCTATGGTATATTTCGTGTGTGTATCGACGCTATGTTATATTTTGTTTGTGTATCGACACTATGTTATATTTTGTTTGTGTGTGTATCGACGCTGTGGTATATTTCGTGTGTATATCGACGCTGTGGTTTATTTCGTGTGTATCGACGCTATGGTATATTTCGTGTGTGTATCTACGCTGTGGTATATTTTGTATACGTGCATTAAAGTTGCTGTACATTTCGTGTGTTGGCATTGACGCTGCGGAATATTTTGTTTGTGAGAATGGACGCTGTTTAATATATTCTTTATCACCTATGTTTACAATTCATCAAAAGGCATTTAAATGGTCTCTTTATCCTCATTATGTGTAATGGCAAAACGCCGTCCTCGTTAAGTATGTGGGTGCTTAGTAAATTTGTTTATTTTTAATCGCTCTATCTTGTTTTATTTCTTTTGCTGATCAACGACAAAGTGCTCTCTACAAAGCGCAAATGTCAGTGTTGGGGGTATCTTCACAAATGATGGACTTGTTAAGTTTATTTGCTTTAAATTGATGTTTAGTGAATAACTTGGAAATGACTACATTTTACAGTAATATATTGTGTGATGCATTTCTTAGGTTTAAAAGTTATTAATATATTATTTTTATATCGAAGAAAAGTAAGAATCTTCTCAAGTGCGGAGTTTTTCATTTAAGGATGTACACCTCTGAGAAGTCAAAAAAATCCTGTATTAAAATCTTTTTCTTATATTGATTTTTGGAAAAAGGAGATAATGGCATAGTAGAAAATGCAAAATAAATGATATGTCCGTGTGTTCGTTATTGTGCTATGATCGGTCAAAGATACCGATTAAACACAATATGTGATTTTAGGTGAATTTTGGGGTTTTGACCATTTGCAGAACGAATTCGTACAATTTCTTCCAAGTGTGTTATCAGATATGTATGAATGTTTGTAGAATTGATAAAAATATTATTTTCTTTTAAATTTTGGAAGTAAAATTTCTTAATCTTATTCATTTTACTCAGAAATGCGATTATAGTTACCCCTACTCCTTATTTTTTAATCCAAAAATGCACATTGTTTCACCTTTTTTTGCAGATTAAACACTTGATATAAAAAAATCAAGATAAAACAACCACAAAAATGGGGGGTCAGTGTGCTTCTTTTTTTGTCCCATTATTATTTGTTATTTTTCACCTTTTTCGGGGTCAAAAATCAAATTTTGGCCCTTTGTGAAGCGGAATAAATTCACATAAATACACTTTTTCAAAATGGCCGCCAAATTGGTCATTTTTTTCAAATGTTTTCAGATGTGTGTTTGCTATTTAGCCTATTATAATTTGTTAAATATTACAAAAACCCGTTACACCAGATCAAAATGAGACTTGAACGTGACTGAAACTTCAGAAGAGTACATCCTTAACGTACTAAAGGCTATTACTTACACCTGCAGCCCGTAATTACTAAGCAAGGGTACAACGTATTGCCCCCTGTAAGAATGTACTCTTCGGAGATTTAAATTAAGTCAAAATCTCATTTTGATCCAATTTAACGAGCTTGTATATCATTTAACAAGTTATGACCACTTTTAAAAGCAAACATGCATCCTACAAATGTGTAAAAAAAACAAGATGCCTGTTGTTGCAGTATTTTTTACAAAATATTTTTAAAAATGATCAATTCGGCGGCAATTTTGAAAATGTGTGCCGCCATTTTTAATTGAAGGAAATATTTTTGTGCTTTACAAGTTCATTAACTTCAATATTATGAAATATTAAGCAACAAAGTGGAACATTATCCATTTTTGGTATTGTATAACTTATTTAGCGTAACTGAATCAATAAATGTAGTTTTATTTTTGACCCCGTAACAGTTGAAAATAACACTTACGATAAAATGACTAAAACATAAGCACAATGGCCCCCGATTTTTGTGACTGTTTCAGAAAGAGAAACACACTTTTCTTTGATCCATTGAAATTTAAAAAAAAAGTTTATATGTAACATTACATCTGCTAAAAATGGGGAAAATTTTGTCATTGAAAATAAGGTGTTGAGGAAACTTAAATCGCTCTTCTGAGATGAAAGAATAAGTTATAGAAGTTTTACTTTCATAATTAAGGAGCATATACTATATTTATCAAATGTACAAACATTTACTACATTTCTGATGGCACACATGAAAGGTATGGTATTAAATTGTTCTGCATACGGTCAAAAACAAAAACAAAATATCTCCAAAAATGTCTTATGTTAAATTAGTATTTTTAGCCGATCATAGCACGAAAACAAACACACGGACAATATAATTTTTGTATGCATTTTCTATCACGCCAGTAACTTCTTTTTCCGAAAATGTATATACCGTAAGAAAAATCGTTTAATCCGGGATTTTTAAAACTTCTCAGAGGAGTACATCCTTAGCACTTTTAGCAGAATTTCTGGAATTGATGGGTATGATAGCTTAGACGGTATATTATCGAAATCAATAATGCATTAAAAAGTTATGTTACTAAATGTTACTGGAATCTTTAGAAAACCATCACCTCATATGACTGTACACAAAACGACACTAGTTTACCTGTAGGAGACGTGGACAGCTACAGGACAGTCAGCGGGCTATCTAGGTGTCAGACTTCGTTCTCGAACAAAACTGTTTCTCAGGGTGCGTGTCTCGATGAGGGTTGTCGGGATAAAAGACAAATCGATTTCACATAAATTCGTCACATTTATCAATACGTCTGTTATTACACGATACATAAAAAGTGTAAACATACCGCACGTATTTTATGATACTCTGTGTGATTTATTATACAACCCTGTGTTTTAAAACAAATAGGAATGTCTTTTGGCACGTCTACCTGCATTACTGTTTGGTCATATATGTTTTCCATATTACACCGTCATTGAAATACATGTACAGTGTAGCAATAACAGACGCCTTCCAGATAGATACGTTATTTATGATTAAGATACTGAACACGTTGAAGAGATAAAATGTTTGTTTTAGGTTAGTAAACATACCAGCAATAAATCGATACTGTAAGCATTAATGTACTTTATTTACTATATAAGTTTTATGGCAAGCTTGTTCACATTGGTATGCCAACAGTCTGCTCGAAAAATATGCCACAGAAAGATAGTGTCAACCAGGAACTCGTTCATTTTAAGATTTCATCTTCAGTATTTTTCATCGTTGCCTTTGTGTTTTTTAGCATTCATAAGAATAGTTTGCCACCGCATATTTACATAGGCGTTCACCTTTCGCTTTCATAATAAGAGATTAAAGCGTTTCTTAAGTTTGGTATGAGGTATGGCAGTGTAAAGAGTGGTACGACAAATGTTTTAGAGGAAAGGATATATTTTACTGTTAGGCTAAAAAGGATGTAATGCACTCACATGCACCCGTCCACCAACTACCTGGTACTTTTTCAGAATGTTCTGAGGTAAACTATAAAGTTTCCAACCAGGAAACTTGGGAATCTTGAAAGATTGAGGTAAATTGTCGTCATCATCATTTGGGCTGCCATTGTTCTTTCACAGTTTTCTTTTTTTTATAGCGAGCACGTGTGTAGTGAAAACGTGAGTTTGTGTTTGTTAATGAAGTCGAATGCTTATTTGGAATTCCTCGTAATTATCATGATTTCTGTTTACCCTACGTTACGAGATCTTCTAAGATTTCAGATTCCCCCAAGAAGCAACCGGGAGGGTTCTTACAACTGTGTTGTGTATGTACATGTAGGAAAATGACTGCGTTGTAAATGTCAGTCATAGTTTCTGTAATGCTCAAAAACACCATTCGCTTCATATAAAGTCTCGTTATCAAACAGTTACTGGGGTATATTGTAACACTAGAATACAAGTCTTGTAACTTATGTTACACAAATATACAGGTGTTGTAACGTCTACAGTTACAGGAGACAGGTTCTCTAACTAATGTTACATGAGACATATTCTGTCTGTTACAGGAGACAGGTTCTGTAACTCATGTTTCATGCCACATGTGATATAACTGCAACTAATGTTACAGGAGACAGGTTCTGTAAGTAATTTCACATGAGACAGGTGCTATAATCGATGTTACATGAGACAGGTTCTGTCTGTTACAGCAGACAGGTTCTGTAACTAATGTTACATGAGTCAGGTTCTGTCTACTGTTACAGGAGACAGATTCTGTAACTTATGTCACAGGAGACAGATTCTGTCTACTGTTACAGGAGACAGGTTCTGTAACTAATGGTATAGGAGACAGGTTCTGTCTGTTACAGGAGACAGGTTCTGTAACTAATGTTACAGGAGACAGGTTCTTTAACTAATGTTACATGAGACAGGTGTTTTTATTTAATGTTACATGAGGAGACATGAGCTACACCTTAATGTAACAGGAGACAGGTTCTGTAACTATTGTTACATGAGAGAGGTGCTATAATCAATGTAATAGGAGACAGGTTCTAAAACTAATGTTTCATGACACATGTGATATAACTAGTGTTACATGAGACAGGTGATGTAACTAATGTTACATGAGACATGTGCTGCACCTTAATGTAACCGGAGACATGTTCTGTAACTATTGTTATATTGAATATTTTGTTTGTGTATGTGGACACTTAGGTATATTTTGTGTGTGTATCGACGCTATGTTATATTTTGTGTGTGTATCGACGCTATGGTATATTTCGTGTGTGTATCGACGCTATGGTACATTTTGTTTGTGTGTGTATCGACGCTGTGGTATATTTGTTGTGTTGGTATTGACGTTGCTGTATATTTTGTGTGTTGACATTGACGCTGCGGAATATTTTGTCTGTGAGAATAGACGCTGTTTAATATATTCTTTATCACCTATGTTTACAATTCATCAAAGAGCACATAAATGGTATCTTTATCCTTGCTAAGTGTTCTGTCAAGTGCATTCACTTGTTACCTCTCGGTTGGATTATGGTAACGCCCTGCTCTGTGGTATATCTGACAAACTAACCAGTCGTCTGCAGAGGGACCAGAACACTGCAGCACGGCTAGTTACTCGTACTCGAAAGAGAGAACACATCATACCTGCGCTTTATTCGTTGCACTGGTTACCTGTACGATACAGGTCGCAGTACAAAATTCTGATATACACATACAAGGCACTGAATGGAACAGCTCCTCAGTACCTACAGGAACTCGTTACCCTGTATCAGCCGTCAAGATCACTGCGGTCGGAGTTAGAATCTTTGTTGTGTGTCCCAAAATCTCGTACTGTGACCTACGGAAACAGATGCTTTGGGAGGGTTTCGGCTACGTTGTGGAATAGCTTACCATCTGCTATTAGGAAGTCAAATACCCTGGCCAAGTTCAAGAGGGACATAAAAACTCTCCACGTCTGCATTTTAGAATCTTTGCAAAGACGTCATGTAAATACCACCCTTTTATTTGTTCAATTATGTGCACATTGCTTGTTAAATGTATGAAAGTGATTGCAAGCCTTTGTTGTTTGTTTTCACAATTATAACCATTACTATTATCCATATGTTGTAAAACGCCTTAGAGTAATTTTACAAATCATATAGGGCGCTATATAAATGCTGTATATAATTATTATTATTATTATTATTATTATTATTATTACTGCACTGGTAAAGAAATGATGAGTATGTGTACCTCCTGATTTTTGAACAATTATCTATAAATAGGAAAATATTGTTCAAGGAAATGGTCAGCTTGAAGAATGCAAACCCCCTGTAAGACAAAAATAACAACTGTCTCTATCTTTCGCCGTTAATAGTAAGACTTTATTAACCAATGATTGATTTTGTTTGAGTGGTTCAAGAATAAAATACGTCTCTATGTACTTTTCTCGAGAAAAGAAGTGCTGTGTGACATTCATTTCCAATATTTACCTTTAAAGTTCTACGTTACTCACTGATTCACATTATCTTATTGTGTATACATCATAAATGTGACACTGCAGCTTGTATTTCCTTCCTTCTTAATACACAGATGAACATTTCCACAGTTATTTAGCTTTGATTTTTTTTTTTAAATCGAAGATAGTACAGTTGTGTGACCGCACAACGCACCAAAAATAGCGTGCGCACACCGTGCATACATCGTTCACACACCGTCCGCACATCGTCCACACATGGTGCGCACAACTGTGCGATTTAACAATCGTTCGCCACGTTGTGCGCTTCTTTCCGCACAACTGTGCGATTTGGTATAATTTGTTGATCAATATTACGGAATGAAACAAACCTGAAGGCTCGTATGCAATAATGAACACTGTATATATTACTGTAATTGTTCATCACAATAATTAAGATGACGTACAATTTTGTGACCGTTAGACTGTCAAAAATGTATTTGGCTCCTTCATGTACATTTAACAATCGTTCGCCCCGTTGTGCGCTTCTCTCCGCACAACTGTGCGATTTGGTATAATATGTAGATCAAAATTACGGAATGACAAAAATACGGAAAGCCCGTATGCGATAATTTACACTTTGAATATATCTGTAATTTCTCATCACAATAATCAAGATTATACAATTTCACAATGCGTGTTACAAAGTATCACAGCGACCGTTAGGCTGTCAAGAATGGGTTTGGCTCCAAGGTAACCGAACAGGTAAATGACAATTTGATGAGTGTCCGGAGTTTTACTTGACCAGTGACTTACACACGGAGCTGATATGCGATACCGTATGACCGTAATGAATAGTATTTGTTATTTGCATTCGCTTGCCTATAGCTCCCCTTGGATTTTCACACCCCAGTCTTACCCGACGAGTTACGTAAGTGCCCCAGGCGGGGAAAAACTACGGTCCAGGCGCATGTACAGAGTGGTTATGTTTACCTGTATACGGGATTGTGTTGTAATTTTACATGTGTCGATTAAGTTTGCTTAAAAACACCGAAAACACAATTTCTAAATATAAGAATGTATAGACAGAAAAATAAGTTTATAGATGTAGCTAAAATATGGAAACATACGTAAACATTCAAGTTTATATGTTTCAACACGAAACCGTATAAATTGTTAAGGCATTCCTCAATTTACACAAACCATGATTGTTATCGCACTGATCGTCCAGGTTTTTATCGTTCGCCCATCGTGCACACACCGTTCACACACCGTGCACACTTCGTGCGCACACCGCACATCGTGTAACGTTGTGCGATCCCACAACTGTACGTAAAAGAATCGGTTTAATCAGAATCGAATAAACTACAAATTGCGTGTAAGTGGCATTCTGGGTATTTTCCTAAATCATTGTAATCAATCAGTTATACGGAACTATTTTATCAAGAAAAATAGCAGTAAAATAATAGTTAAGAATTACCGTTATAACAGTTATATACATGTAGGATAAATATATTGCGTCAAATATATCACTGGGTAGTATGATTCTATAAAGCAATATGGAAAATAGAATGTTTTTGCTTGCTTCTTTTTTCTTCCTTGGTGTGTCAACGATATGTCTTAGTGAATGTAAATAAGAAAATCGTTCTCAAGTTATTTAATTCGTTCTCAATGTCTTCTCGCATATTCTCATACTTACAACCCATGAGATTGAATTTATCATGCTACCGGTAGATGTTATAAAGTATTATATAGATGATAGTAGAATACCTCATACCATTAAAAGAGTAGATGCACCTATCCAGGGAAACAGA